TCAAGCCTGAGGAATTCGCCTCATTTTCATCCCCCTACTCTGTGACACTTTTGTTTGGGTGTGTGATACAGCCATGAACAGAATATACAAACTTATTTTTTCTAAAAGAGACCACACATAACTCACTCATGCTGCACCACAAAGCATATCAGCTCTTGCTGCATGTTTGTAAAGACGAGGATCTTACACACCTCCCCTTCCTTGCAGAAGAGCTGTACAGCTTATTCCAACACCCACATTACCAGCATGTTGAGAACCTCTGCAGGCCAAAGCACTTCAGCAGGACAGCACATGCTGCACGGGAAGAATCAGTGCTCCTACTGGAATTCCCAATCTTCCACTAATAACACATTTATTTTAAAAGGACTGTCACTGCATTGATGCTTTTCAGCTTCACCTTCTGCCTTCTACTCAGAGTGGAACACCACTTTTACTGCTCCCCTGAGTTGATTAATTACAGTTGTACAGAAAAAGATGGACCAGTAAAGTACCTTCCATTCCCATTTTACTTTGGTTGTCTGTCACTGTAACACTTGACTTTATAGTGTGCAACAAAATTTGATGAGAAAAAGGAATCATTGGACTTTTCAAGTATAGTAAACAGAGATTAAGTCACCACCTACTAGCTGAGGTGTAAACATGCAAGTTTTCAGCAAAACAGTCTTGATCTTATTGTGAAAATTAAAGTTCATCAATCCTTTTTTTTTAATAGTTAGGACATTTGATGCCTCAACTCTCTGTGAAAGTCATATGAAAGATGTGGCTTTGAAAAACTGCTCAAAAATATACCTTAAATCATGTAAATCTTTGAACTGTGGCATGTATTCAGTTGTATTGGATTTACCACCTTTTATTATTAAGGAATAAGGGTTTATATCTCTCCTTAAAAGATAACGTGTTCCATTAAAGGGAAATTCTCAGTGTCTTGAGAAGCACATTGCTGGCATAGAGGCACATCTGCATTAATATATATTCATCCACAAACACAGCAGAGTAAGCTGCACAAGCAGCAACCCCAGTTCTGCTGGTTTAGTGCCTCTGTGTTAAGGGTGTGTGCTGGTACAATTGACCTTCTGTCATTAAATGGCTATACATTTTCTTAATTATAGACATGGCCACCTGCACACATGATGGAGCACCATCCGTGGTGCTGGAACAAAGTGATCAGGAGAGAGCATCTCTGAGGCTGAAGCCTAGGCAGCAAGTGGAGCCAAGCAAGATTTCCTGAAGCAGCTGAGGAGCAGGGAGGAGATAAGCAGGCTGGCAGAAACATGCCTGGTCTAGCTCATTCTGCCCACGGGGCAGAGGATGGGCTAAGCACCCTCCTCCTTTCCTTCAGCCCAGTTTTCTGTGGTTCCCTCCTACAGTTTTCCAAGCAGTGGCCAGCAGGCCCTGCTGAAAATGGGGATACCCCTGTGTGGAGCAGCAGCAGGGCAGGGGGGACCTCCCCAGCTCTGCCACAGTCAGGATCTCTCACCTGGAGGGCAGAGGCACAGGGAGACACGGGGATCACTCTGGTTCCTGATGGCTCAGCCTGGCGCACAAACATTGGCTTGTGAGTGTTTTAAAAATAAACAGCCAGAGTTGGATTTATTTTTACATTTCAGGGAGGCTGGGGAGCAGGTCAGCCTCACAAAATAAATAAAGCCCATTTCTTCAATGGCATTTTAAAGATGATAGCACCTCTTAGGATGACTAATGTGGAGGGAATGTGGGGAGGCTGCAGCCAGCCCCACAGCCCTACTGACCCCAAGCACACTATAAGGGATCTCCTGTGCCTGCTCATCCACCCAGGACCTGGAGGATGAAATCCTTGGCTCAGGTGCAGCTTCACCAGATTCCCCAGTGCTCTGTGGGGGCACAGGGGCCAAGAGGGACTGGGTTAGTTGACAGGATAGCGGCCTAAATTTAGACAAGATTCAGTAAGTGGGGGTAAGAAATAAGAGGAAGGAGTGGAAAAGGAAGGACAGGAATGAAAGGAATGGATACATAGACTTTATTCATCATGCTCCTGCTCATGAACTTTACTTCTATTTTTTTTTTTAAACATCAGTAACCCTTGCCAGGGATTTGCCCAACTGTTCTGCACAAGGAGTTTGACACCAGAACTACAGTAGACGGGAGTCACAGGGGGTTGTGGCTGTCAAGGACATGGTGTGCAGTGCAGAACCAGATTCATAAGAAAATAGAAGGTATTTATGGATCAGCTGGGTAAGTAAATGATTTGGTATCAGTGTGGAGTACAAGCTGGGTGAAATGCAGCAATGATACAGCCAGGTTGTTATACAAAGGTGACCATCCTTTCCTTCAAAGGACAGAGCCTTTGTGTCCTGTACTGCAGGAAGGTGAACAGCAGAAAGTTTCATGAGGGAGTGGCAATGGGCCAGGAGTACTCAGCAGAAGTATTCCTCATGTAGTTGGAATAAAGTGTTAGCATATGTTGAGATCTGGACTTCACCTTAGGCTCAGCAATTATTAAGATTTCTATTTCCTGCCTAGAAACAATCAAATCACAGTGTTACAATCACCAGCTGATGGTATAAAATGCCTGATACTTAATTATTTCAGAAATGCATTTGAGATTATTATATACACGTACTTAAAATTTATTCCCTCTTAAATATAAATACTTGACTCAAGTCCCGCTAGAGTTTCCTGCACAATATAAATGGTGCATTTTCACACGTCTTTTCAAAGCTTTTTAAGGTACTTTAGACCCTATTGCAGCTGGACTCTGAAAAATAAAGCCAACTTACATCAGGAATATGCAATCAAGTGCTGGCTTGTGATATGCTGCCTTCAGAAACTGATGATACATCGTTCCCGTGTGCAGCTAACAACAGGAAAATCCCTGCCCCTCTCTTCCATACCACCTTTTCCACAGCAAAGGATTTGTACAGATGCATTTTGCATGATTTCTGCTCCCCTAAAAGAGTAGGGGAGTTCAACAACTTTGGAAAATTAGCTACCTTAAGATGAAATGAAGCTCAGAGAAGTTTTTGTATATAAAAGAATGTTTTTAAGGCTTATGATAACATCAGCTTATGGTTAATTTTAGGGACTCGTTCTTTGCAGTAGTGCAGTTGTCTTCCTCAGTTGTTTCTTGCCCACAAGCCCAGTGTCCGTGGCTGAGGAATCAGGTAATAACCCATAGCCACCTTCTTGTTGTGACATACTGGTTCATCCTGTATTGGGGATCACTCGTGGAGGGAGGATGGAGGGATGAGTTTAAACCTGTGTATGATTTAGGAGTTTGGAATGGAAGTCATTAGGAAACAGCAATTGTTCTGGGAGGTAATTATAGGGAAAGACTGGCAGTGGGGAACTCAAAGGTTAGGACATTAAGAAACTAAAGACATGTGCATCAATCTCTGTCTGAACCTCTGTCCTAATCCCACTCTTTTGCTGAGACATTGTAAACCCGGGTTTGGCAGATTTGTCATGTTTTTGCTTGGGTCAATAACAACAAATAATTTCCAGACTTGTAAATAATTTTTCTTTAAACAGGTTTTGGAAATTCAGAGGAACAATAGGGAAAGTCAGAATGTACTTTTTGGCAGGCAATCTATCAAATTAACTGTTTTTAAAACCTGATCTTCCCTTATTTTTCTTCTTTCTAGCCCTGGAATTTGCTTCTTAAGGCAGGGCTTCACACTTGGAAATTATTTTCCTCTCCTGCCCATCTCTGCGGACTCCTGTGCTGCTGAGAAGCAGCTGGAGCCCAGGTATTCGTCCCCCAGATTGGTTTTGATTTGCTGATTTTATAAACCAGGAAAACAAATAAATTTTTCATTCATTTATCCACTTGCAGTCAGACCAGCACTGTCTGCCTGAGTACATTTTCAGTCCCTTCAGGAGGCCCAATTTTGCATGTTCTGAATCCTTCCCTTCGGAGACTTATCCTGCTGCCTGTTTCCCGAAATTCTGAAGTAAACACCGGACTGTTTAATGGAAGTCCCCATAGCCTTCCAACTATGTTAAGGATTATCCTTAATCCTTCATTGCTCTGACCCCAGATTGGACACGGAGGGGGGCAGATTTATTCATCTGCACCCCTGCCTTCCCTGTCCATCCTGGGAAAACAGGTCCCTTCCCTGGGACGGGACTGCATTCACCAGAGAAGCCTCATGAAGAACAGTGGCACCCAGGCGAGGAGCAGCCTTGTTTACAGGAGATTTCTCTTCTTTTCCGCACACCGCACAAACACGTCCTTCCCCCGCCCGTCCGTGCCCTACGAGCGGAGCAAACCCTCACCCGCGAGGGGGGAACCAGCCCAGCGGGCCCGGCCGGGTCCCGCCGCGGGGCCGGCGCGAGGCGGCGGCTGTCGGTGCGGGGCTGTGCGGGGCTCCCTCCGCTCCCTCACGGCGAGCGCGGCCCCCGCCGGGCGAAGGGGCCGGGAGGACAGCGGGGTCCGCGCCCCGAGGGCCCGGCGGAGCGGGCGGCGGCGGCCCTGCGGGGAGGCCGCGGCGGCAGCGCCGGCCCAGCCCCGCTGTCCCTGTCCCCGCCCCTCCG